CTAACCTTAAATTATAGTTTTTTGTCTGTAAAATCCACAAAAATGGTCCAATATCCACACAAAAAGCACTGTCGTGTTCGTCACGTTACCCCTGATCGATCTAAATGTGTCACTAGCACTAGAGATCATGATTTCGGGGGGCACTCGGTCACTTGAAAAACACAAATGTCACTGTAACTCCGTCGGTTTTCATGCTAAAAATATGAGAGGGGGCACAAAGCGTAGGTCTCCTCAAGCCGCACCCTCCCACAGTTGCGGAAACACAAGTTACCACTGAAAAACTCGAGAACTCACTTTGGTCAAACACAAAACACAGTTTTTACCCTACAGTTTCCAGAGTTTTTGACCGATCGCGACGCGGTTTTTAACTATCGCGTGGCCTCGCGAAGGCGCAACTTTTGATATATCGCAAGGTAGACTTTTCACAACTTTTACCACTATCGCGATTTTTTCAGTGCGGAGCGACTTAGAATCGTGGCGCTCGGTGTCGAGGTTCGCACGGGACTCCGGTTAGGTTAGGTTTGTTTTTTTTTTTTTTTTCGCTTTTCCCCAATCATAGCACATCGGGACCTTGTTACACTGTACCTGATGGGATTTCCGCTATTATGCTATTACTACTATTTCACATTTAAGCTTATAATACTAATATACCATATATAAAAGTTTATCGACTTGTTTACATATTGTTTACATATTTCTTAACTCTATTATTGTCTACCTATTATTGTATACTCTATTATCTATACGTATGTGTTACATCAATATATATTTTTCTAACTATTCTAATTCTGTTTACAATTTTAAAATGTTTAATTTTGTTTAGCGGTTGGTGAGTTGTCGTGTTGTGCATTTTTCTTTATGTTATTAAAAACGCTTTTTCTTAGGCAATAAGATATATACGGCGTTGGCGTAGGTTTTTAGGACTGGTACTGGGGCCAAGTTGGTACACATCAGTCCTTTTGAGACCTTTTGTATTTGTTTTTCACTGGGAGACTCGGGGAACCAAGTACCCCACGAAGGGAATCAAGAAAAAAGGGGGTGAGGTAGGGGGGGGGGGAGGGGCCCAAATATGCCCAGTCCTAAATACAATTAAATATAAAATAAAAATAGACCTCCTTTTTTGAGGTCGGTTAAAGTACTTATCCTACTTAATCTAAAAGAAGTAGAAACACCACTCCTTGTGTTGGAGCGCCTATGTCGAATGCGTTAGCAATATGTTAACGCTCATAGTGTATGCTCACTGTCATAATCATGTCATGATTATTCTGTCTCATTTAATTTTTGAAGTTTGTAAGTTCATTATAAAAGCTCACAGCATACAGTCCACACGCCTGCCTTTTTATTTCGTGAAGTCCTGAATTCCTAAACATGGTCCTATCGTACCGAATAATCGGTAATCAGCTATATTGTTGAAGAAAATCAATTATACAAGGAATATCAACTAAAGATAAAATTAAAGAAGAAAATATTCACGGGCGTCAACTACCGGCGAAGTGGTATGTGAAAGGAGTACTTTGTGGTGTTAACCTTTATGCATCAACTATATCGTAACCCAACACTCTATTCAGGTAATATAAGCGAACTGTATTGAAAATATTATCAGGTTAGTGTATTATTATCAATTTTATTGTATCAATTAGTGTAGTTTCATCGCATAGGTATCTACCGCACAGTTAATAGTAAATGTGAATAGTGCTTTTTAATCTTAAGGAGTAGCAGTTAAGTTGCAAATCATACTTATTTGTAATAGGTGTAGTAATAGTTAATATTACGTTATATCAATTTAATTGTTGAGATAAAAAGTTTAATGTAAAATTATTATTCACATATAAGTAGGTACTTGGGTGTAGATGTTAGATACAATTTGTTGAGTGTTTGATATTATTTGGTATGTGTTCGCGCCACTAAACAAATTTCGTGAAAACTATTATTTTAAATATTTTGGTTGGTATCACATCATCTCCACTATCCCTTTCCTGCACAACGCCTATACAATATGTGTGAGCGAGATGGACTCACCACTGCAAGCTGCACATTCGTTGTACATAAGTGAAAAAAGTAGTCTCGTTTCGTCCGTGTTACCGTCGTTTTCGAAATGCGCGCGTGTGCCACTTGAAAATCGCAAATTAATAACTTTCGCATTGTGGTTTGTGAATTTGGTGAAATTAGTCCCTGGACTTTATGCTGCTCCGCACAGGAAATAAGGTATCGTGCAATCCATCCCATTGGAACTGATTATTACTTTCATTTTTCCTAACAGTTCTAATTTCCTACCTTGACGCCAACCAAGTTTTACAAACTCCTCGAATTTAGCTAACCCGCGCAAACATTAATTTGGTCCTTCTCCCCCGATTTGAATCAGTCCCTATCGCTTTAGTTCGTTTATCGATAATATTTCGCTATACAAATCGTCAATTCGTTTACCGGCAGCCGGCCGCCATCTTCGTGTCGCACGCGTCGCTCATTTGTAAAAATTCATAAATTCATTTATTTCAAGTCTCGATATAATTTCGTATATTCGCATTTAAGAATCTCGTATTAACTTGTATACCTTGTTTCGCATAACCCGCATCGCATATTTCGTACTATAGGTAAATTATATCTACCTATACATTATCGCTCATTAAATTTAGAAATTGTTCGCATACCTACTTATGAATAAAGTCTTGCTTTCATTATCGTAAACAAATCACAGATCGCATGGTATAGTTATCTACTTATTACATCCATCACATTACATTTTCGTTTCGTGTTGAATACCTACGTTTAAACAGCTGTGGACAGGCAATTGGTTCTCCGCCTTGTTTATTGTTTCTTATTTACGTTATTTACAATACATACATACATAACTTATTGAAATGGCACCTACAGACGTGAATGTACAATTAAAAACGTTATATGCCAAAAGAGATAGGATCTTTAGTCGTATGCAAGGTATTTCTAATCGTGTAGGAAATCTTGAATCGTTATCAGCACAAGAGACATTTTTGAGTGAAATTGAAACCGTAGATGATTTACGTACTGAGTTCGAAAATGTGTTGGATAAAATAGTTAGCTTGGAATTTAAATCAAACCCAGCTCTTTAAATTGACTATCAGCCACTATCATCGTTCGAGGACCTTTTGGGCCGTGTTAGACGTGCTGCAAAAACATTACAATCGCAGCCTAATGACACCAAACCCGCTAATAAATACAAATCGCCTAAATTACCACCGATAGAGATCCCCGAGTTTAATGGAGATATAAAAAATTGGCCGCTATTTTTCGCTAGTAGGTGACTTGACTGGCAGCAGTTGCTTACTATCATTACATAGATTTATAGCACGGAGAGGAAAGCCCGCACATCTGTACTCCGATAACGGTACCTCATTTGTTGGTGCGTATAACGAACTTTCCAAATTTTTCAAGACGTCTAGAGATTCCTTGGGGGCAACTATGGCGAATGAGGGAATCAACTTTCATTTTATTCCTGCTTATACCCCTCACTTCGGCGGTCTTTGGGAGGCGGGTGTTAAATCTACCAAGTACCATTTCCAAAGAGTGTTGGGCAATTGTAATTTAACTTTCGAACAACTTAACACCACATTAGTACAGATCGAGGCAATTTTAACTTCACGTCCATTAACGCCACTATCTTCGGAACCTGCTGATTGCACTCCGCTGACACCAGGTCATTTTCTCGTCGGTCGCCCGCTTACGTCCCTGTCGCAGCCAAATTTTGAAGAGCATTCCGCTAACTTTCTTAGTCGGTATCAGCGCATCGAACAGCTCCGCCAGCATTTCTGGACGAGATGGAGTAAGGAGTTCATTGCTGAGTTGCAGCAACGCGTCAAGTGGCGCTCTTGTAAAGATGGCTTGAAGATTGGTACCTTGGTTGTCATAAAGGAGGATAATCTTTCGCCTCTGCAGTGGAGATTAGGAAGGATTACGGCTGTTCACCCGGGATGTGACGGAATCGTGCGCGTCGCCGACATCCAGACCTCAACTGGCACAATACGGAGGGCGTTCAACAGGATATGTCCATTACCGGTATCTTCGGAATCTTGTTGAAAGTGGTACTTTCAACGCCCGGGGGCATATTGGAGCGCCTACGTCGAATGCGTTAGCAATATGTTAACGCTCATAGTGTAAGCTCACTGTCATAATCATGTCATGATTATTCTGTCTCATTTAATTTTTGAAGTTTGTAAGTTCATTATAAAAGCTCACAGCATACAGTCCACACGCCTGCCTTTTTATTTCGTGAAGTCCTGAATTCCTAAACACCTTGGTCTTACAGATAAAAGTGTCCTCCTCCCTATTTTGAGATCGGTTAAATGTTCGTCTGTCTGTCCGTCAGTGCGTCCTTATATCCTAAACGCGAAAACGCTACTCCTTGGTCTTTAAGCTAAAAGTGTCCTCCTCCCTCTTTTGAGGTCGGTTAAATGTTCGTCTGTCTGTCCGTCAGTGCGTCCTTATATCCTAAACCAAAACAATTTTCGCTTTCAATGTCTCTTCCTATCTTCGCCTTCGTTTATGTTGTCACCGCTTTCGCTTACTAAAATTTTTCCAAATTTTTGTTTAAAAGTTTGTGAACAAACTTTGGGGGATTGTATTTGTCAAGCGATTTATTTTGTATTTTCAAAATATCGTTGAACGCGCAGTCAAGTGCTCGAGTTGGTTGTCGTATTAAATAGTTAAAAGTATCGGTTTGGACTCTAAATTTGCGTTAAAACAGTTGCCTGATAGTGTAAAATCATTCTGTGATATTGTGCAGTGAAAGTTGACTATTTTTAACAACAATAATACCGAATTGGGTTCTAAAGTTCAACAGAAAAAGTAAGGATTAGTGTTTTAAAAAGGCGTACAACAGAAACGCGTAAGCGCCGCCGATCACCTGGCGCTTACAACCTTCTTCTCGGCGTCGCGCTCCTAGCATACCATCAATTTACTGTTTGTGCCGTTCACTTGTTGCTTTTGCGAGTTGTATTTACCCACTTTTTTAAGTACTAAACATTATTATGGCACCTAATCAAGTTTGTGCTGGATGTAACTACACAATAAAAACCAAGGAGCTTTTGGTGTGCTCACTCTGTACAAAGAGGTTTGATTTACTATGCGCTAACGTTTCTGAAAAACGCTTTAATAACATGAATAAAGAACAGAAATGTGCATGGCGATGTCCAGAGTGTGTAAGCAAGCTGCCGAAACAAAGAAACACTAATACACCTGTTCGCCAAGCTGCTAATCCGGTAACTTCACCCGGGTCTGACTATACGTCTACAGTAAAAAACGACTCGCCATCCTGTTCGAACATCACTTTTAGAGCAAGCCAGCAGCCGTTGCGTCATGAAGCGAAACTCACTCTTGACAATATTAGGGATGTAATTAAGCAGGAAATGATGTCCATAGTTAAGCTTAAAGTCACGGAAGAGCTGAATGTTGTTAAGCAGCAGTTATGATCATATCATGATTCTATAACTTTTATGAACGCGAAATTTGAAGAACTAAAGGCTTGCATAGAAGAAAAATCCTCCACAATATCCAAACTACAATCTGATAATGAAATACTGCGAACAACAGTTCATAGTCTTTCTGCAAGACTCGATATAGCGGAGCAAAACTTGCGGGAAAGCAATATTGAGATAAATGGTTTACCAGAACATCGTTCAGAAAACTTAATTAACGTGGTGTCACAGCTTGCGAAAACAATAGGCTGTCCTCTTCCAGAACACGACATTTGCAAGGTAACTCGAGTTGCCAAATTATCTAAGGACAACGAGAGACCACGTACCGTAATTGTTAAGCTTTGCAACTCGCGTCAGCGCGACATTGTGCTTGCAAGTGTAATTAATTTTAATAAAAAAAAACCCAAAGACAAATTAAATTCACATCACCTAGGGCTAGGTGGCTCACGAGTGCCTGTCTACGTTGCAGAACACCTAACGCCAAACAATAAAGCCTTACACGCAGCCGCTCGAAAAAAGTCAAAAGAAATGAATTACAAATACAATTGGGTTCGTAACGGTCGCATCTACGTCCGTAAAGACGAAACAAGTCAAGCAGTACTCATTAGGAGTTATGACAGCCTAAAGCTCGTAGCTTAAATCATCAAGTGTCAGTCTTACTTTGCAGTGTTGTGGTGTATCGCTCTCAAATTCAACGGCTTGGAGATATATTATCAGAATGTCCGCGGAATCCGCACTAAAACAGAAGATGTTTATGAAAATGTGCTCAAGTCGAATTATGATGTTATCGTACTTACGGAGACGTGGCTTAACTCAAAAATTTGTGACAGTGAATTTATGGATTCTAGATACAATGTGTATCGCAGGGACCGCTCATTTACTGTAAGTTCCAAGAAGGATGGTGGTGGTGTGCTGATTGCTGTCTCCCGCGACATACCTTCCATTCGTATGACTGGTTGGGAATGTGATTGCGAAAATGTGTGGATCACTATACACTTAAATTATAACAACTCTTTGAAAAAAATTGCCATTTGTGCTGTGTATGTGCCCCCACCGAACAACATGAAGTCTCTCAATAAATTGTTAGATAACGTGAATGGCGTGATGGATGCTGTTGATGACGTACTGATACTGGGTGACTTTAATTTGCCATCAATTAAATGGTCTAAAAATAAGAACTTTCTACATGCTGATCCAATTCAATACAGCAGTTCGTTGGGTTATTCGCTTATCGATTTTATGTCCACTAATAATCTTCGACAACTTAATTATTTACGCAATGAAGATGACAGGGTTTTAGATCTAGTCTTAACTAATTTGTCCTATGTAAAAGTAGAGGAGCCTTTAAGTCTAATTAGTAAATTGGATACCAAACATCCCGGATTAATCGTCGTTATGTCATGTATCAATCATGGTCAGTTTCTGAAATCAGTAAATATTAATAAATTAAATTACTTTAAGGCTAACTATGATGTTATATCATCCGAGTTAAGTAATGTGAACTGGAGCGAGAGATTTCGGTCGTGTGTGGACACAAATGCAGCGGTTTCAGTGTTATATGAAATCATTAAGGGCTTGATCGAGAAATATGTTCCTAAGCGTAATAGTATAAAATCGAAGTACCCTTCGTGGTTTAGTTATGCATTAATTGATAGGTTGAAAGAAAAAGAGAAAATAAGACTAAAATATCACCGGTATAAGAATCCCATAGACCTAATAGCTTTTCAAACTTTGCGAGAACACGGCAATTATTTGTACCGTAACTGTTACTTACAATATAAGCACAATATTGAACTCAATATCACAAAGAATCCAAGAGCATTTTGGAGTTACATAAAAGAAAAGAACAAAAAATTGTCTTCAATTCCAGCGCACATGTGTAGGGAAGATAAAACTGCAAACACTTGCACCGCAATTGCAAATCTATTTGCATGCCAATTTTCATCTACATACAGCTTTGAAGATGACAAGCCTTTCGATTTGGGCACCCTCGATCCGCTCTCTTATGATAGATGCATTACCAGGATTAATATTACTGAACGTGACGTGATGACTAAAATAAAAAAACTAGATATATTTAAAAGCGCAGGTCCAGATGGTATACCAGCTGTTTTTATTAAACGCTGTGGAAAGGCTTTGTGTTTACCGCTAGCTTTAATATTTGACCGCTCTCTAAAGGAAGGATGTTTTCCTAACGAATGGAAAAAAGCCAGAATACTGCCACTGTACAAAAAGGGCGACCCCAGCAATGTTAAAAATTATCGTCCCATAGCCATTTTATCATGCTTTTCGAAGCTTTTTGAATCTCTTGTATGTCCTTATTTAACCAATCACGTAAATGCGTTGTTATCGCCGAATCAGCATGGATTTCGTTCAGGTCGCTCGACGGTAACTAACTTATGCGCATTCGTATCTGACATATCTGATCAACTAGACAGGGGATTAGAAGTTGACGCGATATATACCGACTTCACCAGCGCATTTGATAAAGTAAGTCATAAAATACTCATAAATAAATTGAATCACTTCGGCATAAGGGGTACCCTTTTGCATTGGTTTGAATCGTACCTGGCAAAAAGACTCCAAATAGTTTCTGTCAACGGTCACAATTCCCACTTTTTTTACGCTGACTCTGGTGTACCACAGGGATCCCATCTAGGATCAGTTCTGTTTTCCACATTCATAAATGACATAACATCCGTCATCCTGAACTGTAAGTGTCTTCTTTTTGCGGATGATTTAAAGCTGTATAGGCCTCTTAATTCACTCAACGATGTCAGTCTCATTCAACAGGATCTAAATAGAATTGAGGAATGGTGCAGTCTTAACCATATGCTGCTTAATGTAGAAAAATGCCATCACCTTCGATTTTCCAAGAAAAAACATCCAACAATATCCAAGTACAAAGTTGGCACTGCTGCACTACAGACAGTCTCTGAGATAAGGGATCTTGGTGTAACGATTGATGGGCAGCTTCGTTTTACATCACATATCGACGCGGTCGTGAGGAAGGCGGCCCAAATGTTAGGCTTTTTAAAGCGCAACACGAGGGGATTCAGGCACGCGCAGACGAGAATCACATTGTACAATGCTTTGGTTCGCAGTCATCTGGAATTTGGATGCGTAGTCTGGAACCCCTTTTACGCCTCACATTCTCAGCGAATGGAGGGTATTCAGCGCGCCTTCACACGGCACTTGGCTTTCATCTCTCAAGGCATTACACACAGGTGCAGTTACGAACAGAGACTGGAGTATTTCAAAATGTGTTCTCTATCCAACCGCCGCAAGTTACATGAAATGCTCTTCCTATACAAAATAGTTAATAATAATATCGACTGCAGTGACTTACCAAACCGTATAATGTTTGCAGTTCCTCGGAAGCCGCCTCGCCATCCCTTGACTAGAACTTTCTGCCTACAACTATCAAGAACTAACTTGGGCCTAAACTCTCCTTTGGTGCGTGCATGTCGCGATTACAATATGCTGAATGGTAATGGTGGTTTTAATAAAAGTATAAAATATAGGCATCGGCCATCTTAGCTGAAACACCAATCAGAGCGATTTACGTTACGCCTAAGTAAACATCACAGAATCTTTCGAGTTTTGTTTGTGTTTACACTTTTAAGTTGTTGTTGCATTATTTAATTAGTTAATTTCTGATTTATTCGTGGTTATTGTCATAAAGATAAAAGATCCAAGAATCATCGACGATGGAACAAGGTTTTATTAAGGCAAATAGCTCTAATTTGCCCAGGATGGACTTGTTGATGGTGGGAGATTTTCTTTCATCAAATAAGGATTTTTGCTCATCTGAATATCGAAATGTGAAAAGTTCCTTGTAAGTACATTTTATTAATATTTATTGTTAACCTTATTAACGTTTTAAATATCATATGTAAAATTCTCTTTAAGGGAGGTAATCATCAGTTTGACAGGTTTTACTCGCAAGTAAAGAACGCCCTTACATTTTCAAAACAGCATCAGTGCAAGTAAAACCCAATAAACGATGATATCGAAACACATTTGATATGGATATTGTATTTTAACACCTATGACTATTGATAGTGGCTACGGAGGTGTGCAACTCCTTACGTTATCAAGTACAATAAGCACTGAATATTTGCATTTATTTAACTATGAAACACTTCTACACCTTTAAATGAAACATCTATGTAATGTCAGTTGTTTATTCTGCACTAATAACCACCATGTTTTCTTTACCTGCTGTATTTGTGTATAATTTAATCAATTTCATTAATTTTAGATCCTCCCGACCATCATATGGGGACGACGCTATAAGTTACGTGCAACTTCAAAGAGAAGGAAAAATGTGCACTGTAAAATGCAAAATTTGTCCAGAGCATAAAGTCCATGCAAAGTTATATACAGTAACTTTGATAGTTGATGAAGACGAAGAAAAAGTGATATCTATTCAATGCCATGATTGTGTTGCTGCTCAAGGAGGGTGCAAGCATGCCATAGCACTTCTTATGTGGGTCCATCGCAGGAGCGAAGAACCATCTTCTACTGAAGTACAATGCTATTTTTAGCCATGTATCTCTATTTTTTTTCTTATTTAGAACATAAACAAACAATTTTTTAGGTGTTGCTATTGATGTATTTTTGCAATCAGGTACCGCACACCACTTATAAATTTTGGAATTCATTTTTAACACACAAAACCCGTAGATAACACTTTGTTGACTTGTTTCGTTGAGCACAGATGTTTTAATTACTTAGGCGTGACGTCATCGCAGACGAAATGACACTTCAGAGCGTTTGCGCGCGAATTTCAAAGTAGATGAAAAGAAATGGAATTATTTACGTTAAAACTCATCTGATTGCTGAAATCATGTTATTTTCGTAAATAGTTGACGTCTACCTATATTATAGAAAGGTATTTCAAAATCTGTCATCATGCCTATTCCCTTATACACTTCAAGGATATGATACTGAAATCGTTTGCATGACTGCCACTTTCATTGTTTGGACTT